GACATTATAGCCCTGAATTAAGGAGATAACTTCAGCAAAGAGCCAATTTGGAAAAACACTTAGGAAGCACTAAAGAAGTGACAAGAGAAAAAGTGTATTAGTCTAAAGAAAAGTAGAGATCTCATATTTCACATAAAATATATTAATAATATTCAACTGACAAAAGATATTTGTTTTTTGAGAAATCCCAAATTATACAAGAGCAGAAGATGCATAGCCTGTTTAAGAAAAGATGAAACCTTGTATTATCTAGCAAAATACGAAATCTACTAAAAATTATGGAAGAATCTAGAAGAGGAAACTTTATATCTAACAAGCCTTGAAGTATTAACAAAGTTCGATCTATCACTTGAGAATGACGCATTAAAAAAAGCACTCTATAGTGAAGACACAGAAGAGAAGATGCATATAAGAAACATGCATATCAGAAGCCTCACAAACAAGAAGCAATACACAGACATTTGCAAGATAGCGCAGTCCAAAAGCAAGGCAAACAGAGTACTAATAAGTTTTATTGAACAATTCTGGTCTTATTTCTATGAACAATTATGGAAATTCAGGTGTAAAATAATAGTTAAATGGGAAAAAGAGTACAACATCATAATCAAAGAGAAGAAAAGGAAAAAGACAAGAAGAAAAGGAAAAGCGAATAAAGAGAATATATCTCCTATAAACGAAACAAAGGAATCAAAGAAGGAGAAAGAAATAAGAATTCAAAAAGTAGCTTCTGACAGAGTTAATAGATGGATAAGGTCAGGTAGTAAGGAAGGATGGTTAAGGTTTAAAACAAATTAGGTGATTTTGATATAAGCTAGTAGCAGCCTCTAGCTGACTAAAAGCTAGAAATTTGTATATACAAATTTAAACTCTTATGAGAGAAACAGTTGCTGCAGCAGATTACATTTAGGTACTAAAAAGTAACTGAGTAAGTCCAGATTAGTTTTAGAAAAGTAGTTTGCTGTAAATAGTTTAGCATTTTACTTGTAGCTTAAGTTAGCTTATTCTTAATAAAATGATAGACAAGATCACCTAAGTATAAAAAAAAAAAAAAAAAAATACTACTATGCCAATATTTCAAAAGTTCTTATTATATAGTCTCTTTTTCTTAAAAAAACTATATATAAGAATTTTTAAAACATCTGATATAAATATATATATATATATATCACTTACTTTTGAGCTTTTGGCTTTATAAGATTATGCACAATTATTAATATAATTAATTTCTCTTATTTTATAATAATTATCGCTTTCATTAGCAACAGCAACTTTATTATTATTATTGAAATCAGCTTCATATTCATGAATAAAATTAGCTTCTATTTCATTTTAATTAAAGTCTTCATTATTTTTATCTAAAATATTAATTACTTCTACAAAATTAAAAAACTTAAATTTATTAATATTTATAATATTTGAATGATACCAAGAGAAAACCTGACTCTGATCATATGATCAGAGTCAGTTTTCTCTTGATATTATAAAATTAAATTAATTTATATTTAAATATTTACTGATATTTGTATCTGAATCTTCACTAATAATTGTATTAGAACTTTCACTAGTGTATAAATCTAAACTTTCATTAATGTTTATACTTGAACTTTCATCAATACTTGCACTTGAACTTTTACTAATACTTGCACTTAAACTTTTACTAATACTTTTATTTGAACTTTTGCTGATACTTGTAACTGAACTTTCACCATAGTTTTCAAACTTATTTTGTATATATATATAGTTGCGTGAATTTGTACATTGACCAAGTTTATCATAGTCAAAAATTAAATAATCTTCTTTATCATCTCGTGAGTTAGATATACTATAAACTTTAAAGGCTTTTCATACAAGATTAGAATTAACATTGTGCTAAACTTCAAGTACCTATTGAGCAACTAAGCTATATGATAGACATTGGATACAACCTGTCTTAGTATAATTTATAACTCTATTTTCGAGCTATTTATTATAGTAATACTGCATCTAATAATAAAAAAATTATTAAATTATTTATATAAGTATTATTAAATTAAAATCTGAAATTAAATATATATAATAATACAGTATATAAGTATATTCATTTCAGATTTTAATTTATATAACAAATAAATAAATTACTTTAGACTTAAAAGATTTATTGATCACTATATCTAATAGTTGTAATATTGGGGTTAAACCCTCTAGAATTACAGCTAAGTTAGTATTTTTTTCAAAAAAATAACATTTAACAGAATCCATAACATGTCCTGTAAATAAATCTAAAACTAAAAATGAACATGAATTGGTTCTTCCTTTAAGATTCCATATATTTTCAATTCACTATAACATCTCATTTTCATTTATCTAACTACTAGAATTTGTACAAATAAACATTCTAGCAAAAAATGGTTGCCTTGGAACATTCATTAGTTTAAAAATAATAATAGATGGAAGTTTAGTTCCATCAGCTAAACAAGTAAGTACAAGAGTGAAATTTGATTTTTCATGACCAGAAGTCCTTATTGAAACTGTATGTATACTACAATTATCAACTATTATATTACTAGAAAAATCAAATGATAAAAGAATCTCATCTATATTACTTATTAAGATAAGTAGATAATCGAATTGAATTCTACAATATAAAACTAGACTTAAAAATTCCTGTTGCATAGCTTATAAATCCTCTGAAAGTCATTAAGCTATAGTTGTTTAACGTCTATTGCTTAAATTATGTCAAGTCATAAAGCCATCGATCTATTTATCTAAAAATTTACTTTGAGTAATATTAGGATATAGAGTAATATAAGATGATTTTTTTGATAGTACTTTTGCTTTAAGTTGGATCATTGATCGTATCATAGGTTTTAGCTTGCTTTGTAAATCTTTTACCTAATTATAAACTTCTTTTTCAAGTTCAAGATATTTTGGTAGTTTTCTATGAATTAGCTTTCTAATATGAGATGAAGCATGTATCAATTCTTCTTTATTACTTCACCAATCTCTAACTTG